GTCTATGGATAATCACAAAAAGTTACGTATTTTTTTCGCGAAGCGACGATCGACCTATCTCACCTCCCCAATGGTCGAAGCGCGACTGACGTTAACCGAATAGAATGCTGTGATTGGTTGCTAGTGTTCGGTTTAACGGCAATTTTGTATTATTACTCAAAATTTTAGGTACCTAAAATCGTGTGACCAACGTATTTCGCTTTCTCAATTCAAAATAATTATAAGAAGATATTTTTTTGACTGTTGTGTGGAAAGTATATTTAATTACGATGATTTTAGTATATGATACACACAAATTGAATGAAAATTGTGAATGCAGTAACCAAATGTTTCATTGCAACCGAAGGTGTGACACGATGAGAACGCGAAAAATGTCCCCGTTTTGTATCGTTTCATGTGATTTTTTCGTATTATTTTTGCTTCTATTACGATAAAATTTATTTTGTATGTAGCTAAATAGATATTTTATCATCTGATTTCAAAGTTATTGTTCTAACTTATACCGTTTATGAACTATTACTGTGTGACCATCAAATTTGAGTGTAAATGAGAAGTACCCAGAAATCAATTAAAACCTGTGATTGCTCTTGTAAACCAAACTTGACCAAGATTTTGGCCTGAGAGTACTTTTAGAAGCTTTTTTAAATAAGTGTAATCAATAATAAATAAATTAAGGAGTTGAAGCTATAGATAAATACCTACCTCTTGGCAAACATTTAAATCAATTCCCGCAAATAATTCCCCTCCACACACGTCTGAGCAGAGGAAATTAGAGATAAATGAACTTAGAAACTTTCCCGACAGCTGCACGGCTCATTCGGAACTCGTTAGGGACTGCTACTGTGTAATAGTTGACATTCAGCGAACACCTCCATATCCCAGTTAATTACTTAACCGACACGGATCGTCGTCAAGGGGCATATCCCATTACAAGTGAGCGCAAGTAAATATTTATCTTTATGCCCCCTTAGTCAGTAATTAGAAAATTAAGACGTGTTTATTATGGTGTGGGTAGCTCTTTACGTTGAATGAAATGTAATCCAATTAAGTCGAACAAAGGTACCTAGTAGGTTTAAGCTTTATAGTTGCAAGTGTACACCTATTGAATCGAAGCAAATCAAAAATGCATATTTTTCAGTGTATTATCCAAGTTCTAAAATTCCCGGATACAAATTGCCTAAATTATTTGTAACCATCGCCATCGGTCATGAAACTATTTTTGAATCTAAATCTATTACCGTTTCTGCTTCAAATCATCCTGTCGGTAGCCACATTAATTAATGCCAGAGCACAATTAATGTTAAACGCTCTGCGACAATCAAAACGCAACGATACGTTAGCTGTTTCGCCACTCGTAAATTTTGGGAGTCACATGTCGGTTTCCTTAATTAGGGACGGTTACAAATGGGCCCCTGTTGTTGACACAGAGGCGTTATACGCATCATTTAGGGAACACACGGCATCCTCGATGTAAATTAAACATAACACCTAATTTCTACCTTTGGGAATTAAAGATCTATTTGGAAATGGGTACTAACGAAGGTTCCTGAAAGCGTTCAGTGTTGTGACACAGATATTTGAACTAAAGTATGGATTGAGGATTCTTAAACCTCGCTCTAACAGTAGGTAACTAATTAACAGTTACAACGTTCGCTTTGTAGTTACAACCCAAGTAACATTTTACTCCATTTAAGAGTTCACATTTAGTTCCAATGTGTACTTAAAGCATTAGTACAGTTCACTCGTGATGTATAAGCTGTATTATTGCAATTAATTACACCTATACCTGTCTAAGGGACTTATAGGAGTGTAGACTAGTGTAGAGTTATACTTTTATACGATTGTTGGTGTTATAATACTCTAACAACTATCCTTTAGTCAGCCATCTGACTAAGAGCATTATAGGAGGGTAGAGATACGGCAACCGCTGTTTAACGGCCTACTTGTACGATGTTATAGAGCTAGCATTTTAATAGAACACACGTGGTCATTTATAAAGCCAAAGGCTGTTATGTTTACTTGTTTTAGACTGTTATACAGCTAGTAGCTGTAGTAGGACTTGTTTGTGATAATTAAAATAACCTTTTTTTACTATCTGTACAAAAGTGTTTCAATGGTTCGCATGTACACTGTAGGCTGTTAAAAGGACTATATGTGTTGTCCATTAACATCAATAGCAGTTTATTTGTCCACAAGTACTACTCTTATTTGCTTTAAGCTGAACATGAATGTGAATGTGATATTCTATTACACATTTCCCCAAGCCTGTTTTTAGTTGTTCATGGTGGTTCTGTACATGATGCAGAGGAAAATATTATGCCTGAACCTGAAATTTCCCTTCAAAATATACCAGATATCAGAGTGTGATGATTGCAGTTCTTGTGATAGTGAATACCATTTTGATTTGGACAATTATTTAACCTTTCGCAAAAAAAAAAAAGAACATGGGCTATTGAAAATCGTATTCCTCATTCCGCTTTGAATAAATTGTCAAGCATAATAAACGAATTTAAACCGGGAACACTACCGTCTGATGCTTTAGGTATTCATACTTGACTATTAGTACCTGGGCTAGGTGATTTAACGGACATTAATAATTTTTATTGCGGATCTCTAAAATTTCAGTATTTGAAAGAATTAAAGATACACAATTGACCTGAACTAGGTACATCTTAAAGCTGTACATAAGTTCACATTAGAATAAATTTATAGACATTAGCGCTGTAGTGGTACAAATGTGGAACTTCATATTATAGATAACAGCATTCTAACTAGGGTTTCTGCTCGAGCTTTCTCGAACTCGAGAAAACTCGAGAAATTTGTCTTCATTCGAGACGAGAAAAAAATTGCCGGAGCTCGAGAATTCTCGAGTTTCGATTTTGAAGCTTTAATATTCTTGAAAGCCGATTTTCTTAGACAAAAGTAAGTTTTTTATTATTTAATAGGTCAACGTTGCTTTTAGACTGGCCTAGTCTTTCCTTTTTTAACTGATTTGATTTGCAAGTCATGATCTTAATTGAAACTAAGTAATAATGTTCACCAACAAGTATGCTATATTTATTATGTATGTTTAATCTGACTGAAAAATTTGTTAACTAGACAGTTACCTTACCTAACAGACGTTAGGTTAGGTACTCGTACCTTCTCGCAAAGTTTATTCAAGTCGTAATCTGTAGGAAATTTAAAAATGTAATAAAAAGTTTTTTTTGTTCATAAAAAAAACTATTTATTTATTTATTTAAGGACAGCTAACAAGACACACACAATTAACTGGAAAAAACATTGAAAACAATACGTTTTCATAGTGTAGCCTTAATTAAAAGCTGCCACGACATGTGCATAGATTGCGTGGAAGCGTGGCATCGACTAGTCTAAAAAAAATTGAAAATTTATTTTTTTATTTATAGTAATTTTGCTATTTGGACTTGTGTTCTTTAGAAAACAAGTGATTCAATTGTAGCTCCAGATTTTTATTGTTATTTATCCTTAAAGTGCACGCGACTTTATGACTTTTGTTATGATTATTAGTAAATATTATTATGAAAGAAGATTTTATTTTTTGTTTATTTCCTTACCAAAATAAGTGGTACTAAATTCTAATATTGATTGTTGTGCATAAAAGTAGGTATATTAGATTAAAAAAACCTGTGTTTTTATTAAATTTCAACCGATTTCAGCAGTTTTCATTAAAAGACTCGAGACCCGAGAAAACTCGAGACTTTGGCCTCGAGAATTCTCGAAACTCGAGAAAAAAAATAGGTCGAGAAATCAGAAACCCTAATTCTAACAGAACACATGTGAAGCTAATATACGCTCACCGCATTAAATTGGAGTTATAACAGTTCACATAGCCGTATTTCATTTCCACCATTTTGTTCTACATAACCTAAAATATTTACCAAATAAATCTCCAAAATTAATGCAGATTTATCACAAAATTCGCAGATAGAGCGATTGAGTTTTGGTTTCATGTTATAATTAATTACCGTAATATAATTATAATGCCAATCCAATATCAAAAACTGAAAATTGTAGATTTCCTCTCAGCCAGTTTTAAATATTTTAAAATGAATATCGCGTTTTTACAGAGGCGCGTAAATATTTTAGCTGTAAATATGTATACATTTCACGATAAAGTTGCATTCCCAATGGCATTAACATTATTAAGTATTTAAAACCCGTGTTATTATTTGCATAAATGATTATTTTTGTCGGACTTTATAACTTTGAAAGCTGTGCATTTAGCCACTTGTTACTCTTTATTGTCCTCACGTACGTTGTATGGTTCACACTGCGTCCCATACAGTGCCGTAAGTCAGCCTTAAGTACGATGTTACTACTTAAACTGCTATTATAATGCTATTATACTGCTAATGTACAGCCATAGTGAACTTAAAGCTGTCTAATTTGTGCCCAAACTGGTTCTATAAAAGCATTATAGCAAGCTATACAGCTCGTATACAGCTGACATACACAGCTTGTGGAGTACATGTGAACGACTATTGAACTCTTAAATGGAGTAAAATGTTACTTGGGAATGTACTTAACATGGAAATTAACTCACTGTCCCACATGTGCATCAAGAATAATTTTGATATACTTAATCGTAAAATCAATAGTGCCTAGTTTAAACTGTCGTAAACCTACCTTAGCCGTAACCTCAACAATGTAGTCACCGCTCCGGTCTTATTAAGAGCACATAAAATTTTAATATGGCTCTTGTAAAACACCTAGCCGGTTAAATTAAAGTCCGACTACAGTACTGAGTTTCTTTTGGGAAATTGGGACTAGCGGACAACCTTATGTACCCTACCTAAATACATGGGCTGGTAGTATGGTCATTCCCAGGACCATGAAAGGCTGATGAAGGTCAAAAGAGTTTTCCCTAATTTCACTGAGTTGGCAGAGTAGCTCTTCTAAGTACCTACATCGACATTTAGCTTATCCTATGTAATAAATATGAAGATGGCTTAATTCTGACAGTTCTTTCACTTTTTCAGGAAGATGTAGAGTCATCTTTGCGACTAGTGCACGCAGTGGCATCGGGCGCGACTGGCGCTCTATGCGTGACGCATCGGTACGGAAGACTACGCGCTCCCCTGCACGCGGCGCGCTGGGACACGGTGAAAGCACGCGCAGACCTGGCTGCGAACGTGCTTCATCAGCTGGGGTTGGAGACTGCTGGTTAGTATTGAAAAACATCACGCCTAGTATCTTGGCCTGGTATCTGTTGCTCATGCTGATAATATCGTTTTGGGTATGAGGGTTCAAAACATTCGAGTCTTCGGGTAATGTTGTTGGGAACTTGAGACTAGCCTTGCAGTTTCCCTGTGGGTATAATAGTGCAAATAAAGTGTTCGTTACATAGTAAGTAGGTACAAGGGTCCACTTGTTTGATTTGATCACAGTAATTTTGGATCAGTTCGGTTGTAGATATAAGACTTGCATGAAAGTCTCTAATCACTAGGACGAGTACATTACATCGGAATGAATGAAAAATGTTTATGGAAGAATCATTTGGGAATCTGATAAACTTTCACTCTACAAAAATTACCTGTAACTTGCAGAATGAATGACCTAACATAGAATGTAACAATAGAAGAAAAGGTAACACGTATAAAAACAGGCTGAATGCTTTTCAGAGAATCCAGGCGTAATAAATATCATTGCGTTAAAAATGACCATTATGGAGAGTAGGGTTGGGGAAGTAGATGTAATTTCAGCGTACTGAAATGTAACGCTGTAGATTTAATTTAAATGTAAATGATTTGACATTATCAGTACACGGACGTGTGATATAGTATTGCATTCTCTTTCCTTTTATGATTCTTAACGCCTACGCCTCTGTGAGAGACTCAATATCGCGAAATCATGTTGAACAAATTCGATTGTTGAGTCTCCAATATTTCCCAGAACGGGACGAAAAAGTATACATGGGTCTCAGTAAATAAAAATCAAACAGTAACGTTTTCCTCATGAGGGTACCTACTTGAAAAGTAACATCCCATGTTTGTATAACATTATCTACCATATTACGTCCACATTCTATCGACATAAATTTTGGTGTAGTTTTAAGATATAATAAAATTAATAACGGTTTAGTTTAGCTTATATTTCATACACAAATACCAATTCTACGAGTATGCTATGTATACGAGCGCACCTATGACGCGTCTGAATGCAGGCAAACGTGACATTTGAAAGCTGACCCAATTATTGCCTATTTTTATTAAATAGAACTCCACATATTAGTGGCTTTCATAAGTCAATCGGACAATCGGATGAATTAGGTCATATCAATTACCGTTCTCAATAGGAACCATTAAATGCAGAGAGGGTCTGTCTGTCTGTACAAACCTTCTGCTATCAGTAAGTATATAAATAAAGTAGCTAAACTGTTCCTTGTACAAAAGAGCATTTAAAGTTTTCCTACAATTTCTACGATCCTATTTCTATTACATCTCTAATCTCTTTCATCACTTTTCATAGCTCTAGTTACGTTATAATATAATATTGTAATTTTGTTACCTAGTAAGACTGCTAAGACGCGGTATGCACCCTAGAACACGTAGGTACTCTCCGTTGAATACACAACAGTTTCTATTATACGGCAATCGTGACGTCGGTCGTGTTATCGTGTAGCTTGTCCTAAAAGCCCTTACGAAATTTAGATAATTTTAGAGAACTGTACCTGCTTTGATCGTAATGCACCCGACTGACTTGACGGCTGTCTGATGCAGACGCAGTGGTCAACCCGAACTAGAAAGCCAGCGAGTCGAAATCGAAACCCAAAACTTAACTTCAAAGTTGGTAATGTTTGCCTACTCATGCGGTTGCTTACTGTTGTAACCGAGTTTAGATTTATCTACTTTGTCTTCAAGATATCATTGGTAAATTACGTTTCGATATTTTTCTGAAAAAATAATCACATTCATACTATACATTAGTAGCTTAGCTAGTAGGTAAGTAAGTAAAAAGTTAACTAGATACAAGTTTAGCCTAAAAAAACTAAGCTCTTCTTACAAAAACCATTAAAAAAGTAAACAAACGTATTATTCTTACTTCATTCCAGAAACCCTAATGGCAGTATCTCAAGGGCTGGTGATGGGGTCAGAACGCGCGGTGGGCTCTCGAGCGCTGGCGCTTCGGTCCGACGGGGTGGTCAACAGTGCGGTGGCCTGGGAGCGCTACGGCACTGCGGAACCGGTGCCCGTGGTAACACCACAACTGGAAAAACCGCCTGACCCTGAATATCCTTGGTAAAAAAACAAATATTTTAAATAATTTCACACAAACTTGTTAAACAACAATATTTTTAAAGTTCTAAAGTTTCTCCGCTAAGTTCACTCAACCTACTTTGATGTTTCCCGCGCAAAGCCGCAAACAGAATTCATGTTTATTTTAACGTTCCGCCGAAAAAAAAATCAATATAAATTTGGAACTGTACACTTCAAGCCAACATAAAAAAAGCAAACATTTTGAAAACAATGTAAATATTTTTACAACAGGTACGTTTCGGCACACAATAGTGAATCTCTTCGTTCATCCAAATTTATGCCTTCTCCGATTGGAGTCCAAATGGAAGGCTGGTGGACGTATCCTTATTACAGTTGTGAAGCAAAACGGTGGCTACTCTCGTACACTGTTCCAGTCTCAACAGTTCGAGGGTAAGATTTTAACAATTATTTAAATAAATCTTGTTGCAATTACATTGCAGAAAGGCATATTTTTAGATAACATTTATTTTCAGTTTGAAAGGTGTAGTCTCCCTTGATATTGATATATCTAATTTGGAAATAAATCAATGTGAAGCAGAAGTTGAAGATGACTGTAGCAATCAGATTTATTCATTCCATGGTACGCACAAGTGCCCAAACGAAACTACTTATGTAAGTATTACATAAATTATGTCTAGAAAAATACAATTCTGCTGATGTTACTTAATTATTATCTTATGTATAATCTCTTTCAGTGTGAATATAGACCAAATCGAGAAATAAGTGCACGGCATGCCGGTTGGGCGCGTGGGTTGTATATTTGCAAGTGCAGACCAGGATATTACTCCACAAATCATCCAGAAGGATTTAATGGATCATTAGTAGAAGGTTTGTTTAGTGTTTTATACAGGATGGAAACGTTAAGTGATCTCACTCGATTATTTCTAAACTATACAAGATATCGAAAAACTGATTACTGATTCTGAAAGTGCTTCACAAGTTCTTTCAAACGGTACCAATAATAGGTTACAGAATAAACTGGATTTATCCGAAAATTCAATGCTTCCAGCTTCCATACATTTAGCAAAACCACATAATATTAAAAACTATTCAAGATATTTAAAAACTGTATACTGATCCTGAAAGTGCTTCACGAGCTCTATCCAACGGTACCAATAATAGGTTACAAAATAAACTGGATCCATCCGAAAATGCAATGTTTCCAGTTTCCATACATTTTGTAGAGCCACAGTCATGGCACTCATGTCTTGATAATATTATAGCAAGTAAAGTCTAAAACCAATGTTTTCCAAGAACAATTTTAAATAAGAATGCAATTTACGAGTTCATTTTATGTGTTTATTATTTAATAAAAAACTTAATACTTCTAATATTGTTTGGCTGGCGTACATTTAGTATGGAGGCTGAAAACATTTAATTTTCGGATAAATCCAGTTAATTTTGTAACATATTATTAGTACCGTTGGATAGAGCTCGTGAAGCACTTTCAGGATCAGTAACCAGTTTTTCGATATCTTGTATAGTTTATAAATAATCGAATGAGATCACTTATCGTTTCCACCCTGTATAATATTTGTTGTGCAGGTAGATTACAGTGCAAGTTTGGCCTATGTTAAGTCCAATGCCATGATTAATTTTTTAGTTTTTTTTCTTGTGTGACGTTTGTAAGACAGTCGTTCAAATAGTGCTCAGTGTAATGTTTGCTTGCTTTGTTTTGTTTTTTTTGCCGGTAAACTTTATAAAAGTTTAAATAAAACTTATAACTAAATATAATTCGTTTTTCTAGTTGCATACCAAGAGTTTGAAGAAAACGGTGTGGAAAACTGGAGTGAACCTTACGAATGCTTAAAATGCCAGCCAGGATGCGAATCATGCAAAGGACCGGAACCATGCCTTGCAACTTACAACTGGCCATTCCGGTAAGTTTATTACAAGTTTACTAGGCGTTGAGTATATTAAAAGTATTAAAAACATTCAAATTTTGTCTCTACTGGTTATAAACCCTCATTAATTACTAGTTCGGCTTTATGGCTTAATACTATATTGTAATTTCCAGGATATCACTACTAGTAATATCAGTAAGCTGTGCGGTGATGACAGTATGCCTGACGATCTACACACGCCACCACCGTCGTGTGAAGGTCTTCCGTGTGGCCAGCCCTGTATTTCTCTCAATCACCTTGCTAGGTTGTGCTATAATGTACATGGAGGTATGTAATTGCTAATTAAGCTAGATTATCAGCAATAAACGTAAACAATTAGGTACTTAGTTTTATCATATTGTCTTTACATACTGAGTTACTGGTAACTTGACATATTCAGATCAAAATGAGATCAAGGAGATCAAATGCCGTAACACCAAATATTATCAGTGGTTTTCTGCTTAATAAATCTTTGCATACGAGTACCTATTATCTGAGAACATAGCGCACGCTGTTATATTTCATACTTTGCCTGCTCTGTAAAACATTGGCACCAGATTTTATTTTATTAGACATATTTTAGTTAATCTAAAGAACAACAACATAATTAATATTATTTATTCTTTTACAGATGGCAGCAATTTTCCCAGTACTTGATAGATATTCATGCATTGCTACAAAATGGACTCGCCACATGGGTTTCTGCATAACTTACACTGCCTTGCTCATGAAGACTTGGAGGTAAACTACTATAAATTCAGACAAAAACCTGTTAGTACGTAAGGGATCCCTTTCTTTGACATAATATATTTAGTAGGTACTAATATACTTTGGCATAATTTTTTTCACATAATATTACTTAGATAATATACCTATTTTTAGCCCCTATTAGGGAACCCAAGGTGGGCCACCCCTAAGCCTAGCTTTTTATTTTTTTTACATATAAAAATGTAATATTATGAGAAGTATCAATGCATAATTGAATTATGCCATTGTATGTATATTATTGCTTAAAATTATATGCAAATAGGGAACCATTAATAATAGTTATTCATTCTATCCTGTATTCTTCATGATGTTTTTTATTGTCAGGGTTTCACTGACATACCGAGTGAAGTCAGCCCATAAACTGAAACTGACTGACAAGCAACTGCTGCAATGGATGGCTCCGATACTGCTCATTATGCTGGTCTACCTTTGTACTTGGACTTTGTCCTCTCCACCTGATGCTGAAGTTGTAAGTTGATGATTATGAAATAGTTTATTTAGTACTTAAGTCTCTTCCAGGGCAATTATACACGTCCCAAATTAGATTATGCATTAAAAATATCACAGGAAATTTATGTCAAGCTGAAGTGGCAATGAGCAGAGCACATAGTACGTATAACTGAAGGCCGATAGTGCAGCAAGGTTCTGGAGTGGAGGCCACGTACCGGAAAACGCAGCGTCAGACGTCCATCCAGGTGGACAGACGACCTCATAAAAGTAGCAGGAAGGCGCTGGATGCAGGCTGCTTCCTAGGGCGATGTGAAAATCAATGCGGGAGGCCTATGTTCAGCTGTGGTCGTCATGCGGCTGAAATGATGATGAAGAAAATGTCACAGTTATTATAAGGCCTCAGCCTCGAATTTCGCGGGCAGCGGGGCGGCGGCGGTGGCGGCGCGGGAGCGGCAGGATCTTATGCGTAAAATCAAATAGACCGGTTCTCGATAACAGCGGCGCGGGAGCGGGCAACGAGCGGGCGGCGCACTCCAGTCTAGCGGCGCGGCGTCTTCTTTTGCCCACAATAAATCGAGCGCTAGGAATAAAGAATCGAAATAAAATTGTCGCCGTTGTTCAGACATTTCGTTCGCGAATTAAAACAAATATCTCGACAACACAACCCCGAACACAACATTTCGCCGCTAAAGTGCCGCGCGAGCTGCCCGCTTGTTGGAGAACGGGTCTGCGTTGCCCGCCCCGCTCCCGCGCCGCCGCCGCTCCCGCGCCGCTGCCCGCTAAATTCGAGGCTGAGGCCTAACAAGTCGGGTCTGAAGATGTAATATGGGCAGGCCTCCCACTAAGTTGACCGACGATCTGGTGAAGTTCCCGGGAAGTACCTGGATGCGGGCAGCGCAGGACCGGTAGTTATGGAAATCCTTGGGGGAAGCCTTTGTCCAGCAGTGGACGTAATTTAGCTGATATGAAATTAAACAAACTAATTTTATTTCCAGATAACTGACAACAAAGGTCTCAAGTTCAAACAATGCACATACAATTGGTGGGACCACAGTTTAGCTATAGGTAATATTTTATTTACTAATAGACAATACTACGTCTTCCAAACGAGCTGGAAGACGTAGCGTGGGCAGGCCTACGTAAGGTCGCGGGAAGAGCCTCGATGCGAGCAGCGCAGGACCGTGCATTGTGGAAAACCTTGGAGGAGGCCTTTGTCCAGCAGTGGACGTCATTTGGCTGAAACGAACGAACGAAGACAGTACTAACTTATCTGTAATGATTTATCTAATTTCTACACTCTCGAGCTAAAGTATGGAATCATTCTATTCGTTGTCTCGAGTGATCTTTAGAACTGAATGACTGTGAAGATTAAATTAAAATTTTTATAAAAAAAAAAAAAACGGACTCCAAAAAACCTACACTAAAACGTAGAAAAATAATTACTAATTACCTACTTATTTATTAGGACGAATTATTAATATTTATGTAGGTATACCATGATTGATACTTCTGGAGTCGGTGCCACGATTATGAAACATGTAAAGTTTGCCTGCACCGACTCCAAAAGTATCAGTCATGTCATGGTATACCTACATAAATATTAATAATTCGTCCTAATAAATAAGTAGGTAATTAGTAATTATTTTTCTACGTTTTAGTGTAGGTTTTTTGGAGTCGGTTTTATTTTTTTTTATAAAAATTTTAATTTAATCTTCACAGTCATTCAGTTCTAAAGATCACTCGAGACAACGAATAGAATGATTCCATACTTTAGCTCGAGAGTGTAGAAATTAGATAAATCATTACAGATAAGTTAGTACTGTCTTCGTTCGTTCGTTTCAGCCAAATGACGTCCACTGCTGGAAAATAAGTAGGTAATTAGTAATTATTTTTCTACGTTTTAGTGTAGGTTTTTTGGAGTCGGTTTTATTATTTTTAAAAAAAAATTCTTATTTCTTGCTTTTTAGTTAACTAATTATTACCTCGATGTTACCACTGAAGGTAGGCAGTACACTGAGACCAAAAAAAAATGGTTCATAATCGGCGGAGATCGGCGTATAAAAAAGTTCATCCCCAATTTTCCACCCTTGGGGGTGAAATATTTTCTTCAAATTCGCATGAAACCACCCTTTTGTTAATACCTATTCAACAAAAAAATAATCGTTCAAATTGGTTTATAATCGGCGGAGATATTGCGTATAAAAAAGTTCATCCCCAATTTTCCACCCTTGGGGGTTGTTTTTTTTATTATTAAATTTAAATGGGACCACCCTTGAGGTATTACCTATACGCCGAAAAAAGATTTGTTCAAATCGGTTCATAATTGGCGGAGTTATAGCGTAACAAACATAGAAAAAAAAAACATACGGGTAGAATTGAGAACCTCCTCCTTTTTTGAAGTCGGTTGAAAATGGTACCAGTTTAAAGGAAACTTAAACTTGATACCATAAATACTTAGATAATCATTGAGTTCTTCAGATAGATCGGAACAAAATTAATATTTATTTATTTATTTATTTATTTATTATTATCCTGAGGAAGTAACAAATATGTCAAGTAGAAATTATACGAAAACTATAGTGGGGCTACAGCAACGCTTCCTCACGCCTCTAATTTGAAAACGCTAAAGGTTTCGGCAGACCAAACGCGGGGCAGTAGCAGCGCAGTTTGAATGCGGGCCCGCGCAAGTTGTAATACAAGAAACTATGAAGTGTGTCACACCAAATGGCAATGCCAGATTTTGTATGGAAGGTGGCGTCTTTTTTTTTCGCGCGGCCATCGACCAAACTTTGTTTTTTGATTACAAAATAGTGTAATAAACCAAACTTACTATGGCATGTATACCTCTAACTTCAGTCTGAACTGAGTTTTGATTATGCTGCATTAGAAGTTTGATGATTTTTCATACTAGATTTGCTTTTTGCGTGCAAGTTTTGTTAGTAACATTTACCAATATAATTTTCAGGGGAAATATTGTTTCTGCTTTGGGGCGTTCGCGTCTGCTACAGAGTGCGACATGCAGAGAGCTTGTACAACGAGGCGAGGCTCATCTCTATCGCAATATACAACATATTTACTGTCAACTCTCTTATGATCGCTTTCCAGTAAGTATAAGACTAGGCGCAGACCACCGATTTTTAGTTGGGCCCGATTTTAATTTGTATGAAGAATCGGCCAAATCAAATCAACGTAATGTGCGCACTTCCATACATGCCCATACTGATCAACTGCCCGACTAAACTATCGGCCGACGAAGAATCGATGGTCTGCGCCTAGGCTTATTGTACTTTTTTTAAGAAAATTACTTAGTTCCTGCATTAGTGGTTGGTCTATTCCATTAATTAGTTCACCCAGGTGATCGAAATTTACTCCAGGCGAAACTTTGATGTCCTTTGATGGCCCATGGATAAAATAACCTAGGTGACAAAGTCGAAGTAGACTTGTTATATTGATCAGGAATGCTGAAAAATAAAAACTGTTTTGTCCCTTGAAACATACTCAAGTAATCGTAGGTCCCTAAGGCCTAAGGCATTAAGGCGATTAGTGTCCTCAATCCGCGTAAAATGGTCATTTTGTAAAGCCTACTCCTCTTTTACTGCTGGACAGAAATAGTTGAAAAAAATATATGTTATACAACAGTTCAAGGACTACATTTGACACGTTTGAATTTTTCCTACGTCTCTTTGTTGTGGATTAAAAAAATAAATACGGGACATCGATTTTTTACTTCAATTCCCTACTCCTCCCAAACGGCTATGTTAATTTTAAAGATTTTTGCACGAATAGATTAAGAATTCTTTAATCTTTAAATGACACGTTGCGTTTTTCAATCGAACATTACTTTCATTCATAAATTTTACTTTTGATAAATTCCGAACGTTTTGCTGTTGAGGGGGCCTTCGCGGGGTGCGGGCGGCAGTCGGCCGCTGGCCTTCAGACGGGGAGGTTGTGTTACTCGCTGCAAACTGACATTAGCGATCAAAATGAATTTTTTCTTTGGCTGAGTTGCACCACCTGACGTGACCTAACTTTGACCGTAGCTTTGGCGATAACCGGTGTTTTTTTGTATGGAGTTTGACAGATATTTGACTTTTGTCAAATTTAAAATAAGATGGTGCAACCCAGCCTTTGTTTGACAATATATTTTATGTCAGAGTTGTTCATAGAGTACGTTCAGTCAGACGATACGATTGAATTAAGGCATGCTTGGACGCTATTATCTACCTAAATAGAATCTATTAGTGTAAAAAAATCGACTCCAAAACAAACTGCACTAGATAAGTAAAAGTAGAAAATATATTCCGTTATTTATTTACTAGGTCAAATTTATACCATGATTGATATTTTCGGAGTCGGTGGTAGCACTGGCAGCCTACGGTTTGGTAATTTGTTTTGGAGTTGGTTTTAATTTTTAGTGAAAATTAATTTATTTCATGCTTTTGTTGTTGTTGACCCTGTTGTTGCTACTGAAAGTCGACATTGAGACCATATTTTTTATGTTAAGTGCTGTTATCTATACATATGAAAAAAAGGGTCTTGACAGACAGACGGACGAATAACAGAGTAATCCTATAAGGGTTAAATAATTAGTTGTTTCCTTTTGAGGTTCGGAACCCAAAAAATATATGCGCGTTGACTTAGGAACCTGATCTGTTTTTTCGTTGGTTACTATGAACCTTATTTTTATAGTTATTTTATGATTTTTGAATGCATCGAAACTTTTAAATGGAGAATAAAATTGGCCTATTGAAAGTCTCCGTATGGGAAATATTTTGTCAAAATGACAATTTTATTCTTGAGATAAAAGCTCAGATAAAAGATGATAAGTATGCAATAATACGTAATTCAAAGTCTTTATTTCACGCATATATACCGACATAAATAACGACATCTGATTGAGTTTATGAAAATGCATCGAAAAAATGGTTCGATGAAATATGCGGCCATGAGAGCTTTGAAAATGAATGCAGTGATGTAAGTATCTATCTAACATTCCTTCACTAATTTGGAACGTGTCTTTTTCTATTATATACCTAGATTCTGTCCTTACGCAATTTATCTGACTAAAAGCTTGTTACGAGATTTAGGTAAGTTCTTGTAGATGTACCTATTATTTACCTATCCGTGTTTTTTTTAGATTTACTTTAAAATTAAGTTACGTTATGAATGTATTTTTGTTTACACAAGTAAATCTCGCGACGAGCTTTTAGTCATATAAATTGAGTAATGATAGAATCTTTATTTTTTATTCTATTCTTTTTAGAGCATACAAAACCTTGTTTTATAAAGAATGTTTTTCTTTTAATTTTAATTTAAGCATTTTAGTATTTATGATGCGGAATTTACTACGGCGTAGTAGCATCGTTTTTCTTTAATGTAGCTCGTAATAATTCGAAGAATTCTTATGGCCACATTCCAGCTCCATCATCAGACCCTGTTTACATATAGAATTGAAGTAGGTACTCGTGATTTGTAAAGTAGTTTACCGTAACTATGTAAACCCTAATGTAAATAAATAAATACAAATCAAACGAGCCTCAACTCGATGGAGTCGTTTTATTCCGGAGTTCCTATGGGGTCACTGACTTTCCAGCTCTATCATCAGATCAGCTCCATGTCATCATAATATTGCATTGTCATCCGAATTGCATGTGTATCCGAAATTTTAACTCAATCGGTTGTCGTCAGGAAATGGGTCTAACTAATTCATCTTGCAAAATTCCACCCGAACAAACATACTTTACACACAACATACATTGTAAGCTAAATAAAATAAAATAAAAAATATTATCCCATACAAAATGTTCATGGATTTGTAATTTTTGTTAAATATAAATACCTTACTATACGGTGCGCTAGTTTAGAACATTTCGGGCGATCACTTGCGCCTGGGTTGAATGACATCGACATCAAGGTTCATCAATTCAAGTTTAAAATAATAGGCAGTAATGTATGAAGAAAGAGCTTCTATTCTGTACCTACCTATGCCCGTGTATTTTTGATTGGTGTCAAATCGGAGTTTTCGTGCGGGGCGCGCGGGTGTTGTGCGAAGCGTGAAGGTCAAACGCTCAAGGTCATTGAGGACTCTAATCGCCTTAAAGTTTGGAGAACCCTGATCTAATTCAATGCTCATAATATGCCCATTTCAATCCGAAAATGTACCTACTTTCATTATTACATGATGAAATATTTTTATTTCTTTCTTTCAGTTTACTAATCTTGCCAAGAGCTGGACCAGACATCAAATACCTGCTGGGTTTCATCAGAACCCAGTTGTCTACATCCACTACAGTGCTGTTAGTTTTCTTGCCAAAGGTAAAAATGAGTTTTAATTTATTTTAATATTGATTGTACGGCTTAAATGCTACAACTTTCCCTGAAAGAAGTAAGTTCAAAAACAAAAACCTTGACGGAGCTATGGGATTCGCGATGCCAAAAGTAAGGGCGTCAGCGAAAGACCAGCTTCTTGACATGCCCTTGCAAGTAGGGTTGCCAGGTCTAAAATCACAAAAGCCGAACTCTGTGCTTCATTTGGCAGGACATTTCACCCTAAAAGCCGGACATGTGACTGTGGTTCAGTGTGGTTTCAGCTCATGAGTGAGTACTCATCATCAGTTGCTAACCAACATCCTGATGCGTGCGCTTCACATTATTTTGTGGCACGACTTCCGCCTGGTGCGGCAACCAAACAAAAAGCCGGACAACACAATATTTGGCCGGACAAGACCGTAAAAGCCAAACATGTCCGGCTAAAGCCGCACACCTGGCAACCCTGCTTGCAAGCATGTAAAGATAAATGTTGAGCATAATGGCGCTCAGTAATTGTTCTTGTTTTGTTGTTTTATGTACTTACTGTGGCAATAAACTGAGTCTGTTAGTATGGCGATGTTAGCATGTCACTGAGTTTGTTCCGGCGTTTCTTCTCAGCACTTGCCATAATGTTTGTCTCGAAGCGCTGGTAGAGCCCAAAAGATAAGGAGTCACAAAGTGGCCCTTTAAGGGCTACCTTTTTTACTGTACTTATTTCTCGTTCATAAATCCATCTGTGGAGATAATAATTTTGATTTTGAAAGTTTTTCTATTCTAATGCCCAAAAGATAAGGAGACATGTAAAGTGGCCCCTTTAGGGCTACCTTTTTTACTGTACTTATATCTCGTTCATAAATCCATCAGTGGAGATAATAATTTTAATATTGAAAGTTTTTCTATTGTAATGCTCTAGGTGCTTCGCGTAGTCCGCGGCACAGGCGACACCTGGGACAGCCGGGCTCGGGCCCGGGGCGTGCCGGCGTCGTCGTCGCTCAACGGCATTGGGCTGGTGCCTGACGAGCCGCCCGACTTGTACCAGGAGAACGAGGAGCTCAAGGTACACTTACTTGGGTTGGAACTTCATCATCATCATCATCTCAGCCATAGGACGTCCACTGCTGAACATAGGCCTCCCCCAATGCTTTCCATGTTACCCGGTTGGTAGCGGCCTGGTCCAGCGCTCTCCTGCTACCTTTATGATGTCGTCGGTCCACCTTATGGGTGGACGTCCCACGCTGCGTTTTCCGGTACGCGGCCTCCACTCCAGAACCTGCTACCCCATCGGCCGTCAGTTCTGCTTACTATGTGCCCTGCCCATTGCCACTTCAGCTTGCTAATCCGTCGGGCTATGTCAGTGACTTTAGTTCGTTTACGGATCTCATCGGATTAGAACTTGCTTGAATAAATAATGCTATCCACGAAGACGCGCTCGAATCCACCCAATCGAAAAGAATATTAACATAAACTTCTCTAATTACAGGAGGAGGTCCAAAAGCTAGCAGCACAGATAGAGTTCATGAAGATAGTTCAGATGGAGATGCACAACCGTCACTTAAGACCACGGCCTGGCGGTTACTTCACGACCACCGCCAACGCAGCGCCGCAGAGCCCTATGCATCCCACGGTGAACATCTCACAGGTATAACGCCAGTAGTAAGTAGCCAAGAAATACGGAGGATGCTTTTGTTACTCGAAAGATAGCTTAAATGGAGATGCACAACCGTCACTTACTACCACGGCCTGGCGGTTACTTCACGACCACCGCCAATGCAGCGCCGCAGAGCCCTATGCAATCCCACGGTGAACATCTCACAGGTATAACATCAGTAGTAAGTAGCCAAGAATACGGAGGATGCTTTTGTTTCTCGAAAGATAGTTTAAAGGAAGATGCACAACCGTCACTTAAGACCACGGCCTGGCGGTTACTTCACGACCACCGCCAATGCAGCGCCACAGAGCCCTATGCATCCCACGGTGAACATCTCACAGGTATAACGCCAGTAGTAAGTAGCCAAGAATACGGAGGATGCTTTTGTTACTCGAAAGATAGCTTAAATGGAGATGCACAGCCGTCACTTACGGCCAAGGCCAAGTAGCCAAGAAATACGGAAATCGACGATATATTCTACGGCTTTGAATTTGATCATCTTAAGGGCGCCTTAATATTAGACACGTGAGGAAGTGCTGCAGTGGCAGCACTGAGACGTGCTTGCTGCTACTAGTTTTCATAAAATTTTTAGAAGCACCACTACCAAAGTGACACTGACTAATACCCGTCTTCACCATCAATCCCTAATTCTCGCGTCTCATTTGAAGGCGCCCTTACGGTTCAACTGTCAGCGCCAACTGCTGCGCCGAAGAGCCTTATGAATATGCACCCTACGGTGAACATCTCAATATATCACCAGTAGTAAGTAGCCAAGAAATTACGGAAAACGACGATTTATTCCACGGTTTTGAATTTGATCACCTTAACTGATGATGAATGGTTCAACTGACAGTGCCAACTCAATCGCACCGCAGAGCCCTATGCATCCCACGGTGAACATCTCACAGGTATAACACCAGTAGTAAGTAGCCAAGAATACGGAGGATGCTTTTGTTTCTCGAAAGATAGTTTAATGGAGATGCACAACCGTCACTTACGGCCAAGGCGTGTACCTCTAGCATGAACGACTTTCGTCTTCGAATCGTTTGCGTATTCGACAAAATTCGATACTCAACCTTCAAATTAAACGATAACGTGACAATTTTGATTCTCAATATAAGTTTCGTGCAACCATTTCTGATACTAAGTTCACTCTACGACACGTTCACAAGGTCGCTGTTGTAGTTTTCGTACTAAATCTTTTGATGGCGATTCGAATACGCAAACGATTCGAACTCGTAAGTTTTTCGTGCTAGCCGTACGACCACCGCCAATGCAGCGCCGCAGAGCCCTATGCATCCCACGATGAACATCTCACAGGTATAACGCCTGTAAGTAGCCAAGAATACGGAGGATGTTTTTATTTCTCGAAATATAGTTTAAATGTAGATGCACAACCGTCACTTACGGCCAAGGCAAGGCATACCTCTAGCTTGAACAACTTTCGTCTTCGAATCGTTTGCGTATTCGACAAAATTCGATACTCAAACTTCAAATTAAACGACAACGTGACAATTTTGATTCTCAATATAAGTTTCGTGCAACCATTGATTCCACGGTGAACATATCACAGGTATAACGCCAGTAGTAAGTAGCCAAGATGAGGATGAGGATTATTTAATTGATTTTCAATTGGAATTCCTTGATGGTTCAACTGTCAGCGCCAACTCTGCTACGCCGCAGAGCCCTATGCGTCATATGGTGAACATCTCCAGTAGTAAATAGCCAAGAAATACGGAGAACGATTTTATGTTTCGATAAAAATAGATCAAACGTACGTCACTAGTGAGCGCGCAAAAAAATTACATTAAATGTATGACGGATTGTAGAGCGCCCCTAGCGGAATCTTTCAAGAACTAAAATCTCTTATATTTTTAACACGCTCTCGCTAGTGACGTTTGATGTAAATTGTAAACTCACATTAAGCCCTCAAATGGAGATGCACAACCATCGCCTGCGGCCGCAGCCTCATAAATAGTATCTCAACCGACTCTTTATGCCCGATTGGTACTGTCGACAGCATATCATTATATTTTGTTGCAAAACCGCTCTTATAATAATTACACAAGATTACGATTGCTGTGCCGCCGATACATGTAGAATCTATCGGTTCCACGACAGCATAGAATGTGTGAATGGTGGCCGGTCGCAAACCGACGTACGCGATCGGGCCGTATCGAGCGCATAAGGCGCCCGATCAGTGGCGAACCCAACTAGAGGGTTGCCAACCGCGGTGTTGGACCAAAGTCCAGTCTACGGCGGGCTCACTCTAGTGGGCCCGAGGGGACTACGGACGCGGCCTGAGGGCGCCACGGTAGGCTCGGGCCTCAGCTCAGGCCGTGTCCGGAGAACGGGTTTGGGCATTGGGGGATGCCTATGTTCAGCAATGGACGTTCTGAGGCTGAAATAATGGTGATGATGATGAAAAGACAATGCCGGAAATTGGCGTCTTTTTTTTTCGCGCGGCCATCGACCAAACCTTGTTTTTTGATTACAAAATAGTGTAATAAACCAAACTTACTATGACATGTATACCTCTAAACTTAGTCTGAAGTGAGTTACGAGCATTAGAAATTGCAACAAAATAGTGACATTGTATGTGTAAACAAACAATATCATCCATTAAAGGCTCCAAACATCAGTATGCAGCAGAATCAGCGCAATAAAAAAATTGCGCAATATTTTGTTGCAATTTCTTACAAAACTTGCGCGCAAAAAGCAAATCTAGTATGATAATCATCAAACTTCTAATGCTCGTAACTCAGTTCAGACTGAGTTTAGGGGTATACATGCGATAATACGTTTGGTTTATTACACTATTTTGTAATAAAAAAATAAAGTTTGGTCGATGGCCGCGCGAAAAAAAAAGACGCCACCTTCCATACAAAATCTGGCATTGCCATTTAAATATCCACGACAATTCTATCTGTGGATAAGTGGTTATCAAGTGTTATTAATTGTAAAATAATCAATTAAGTAAACCATGGCCTTCTTAATATGAATAAATAAATAAATAAAAAATCTATCGGTTCCAGGACAGCACAGAATGGGCAGGCCCCGTGTGACTGGTGGCGCTGAGCGACAACGGCTGGTCGTGGCCGGGGCCCGCTGCGCGCCGCGTCACAACCGCGCGCGATCCCCGTCCGCCCGCCTACGTGTAGCACCGCAACTCGCACCGCAACTCGCACCACAACTCGCACCACAACTCGCACCGCAACTCGCACCACAACTCGCACCGCAACTCGCACCACAACTCGCACCATGCACCGCGTTAAACGAGCCCGCCTCCGTGTAGCACTGCCCTTAGCACCGAAACTCTCACGACGACTCGCACCACAACTTGCAACGCAACTCGCACCACACACCGCGTCGAACGAGCCTGCCTTCGTGTGGCACCGCAACTCGCACCACAACTCTCACCAACCACGCACCGCGTCGAACGAGCCCGCCTTTATGTAGCACCACAACTCACACCACAACCTACACCACTACTCGCACCGCAACTCGCACCGCAACTCGCACCATGCACCGCGTCAAACGAGCCCGCCTTCATGTAGCACCACAACTCACACCGAAACTCACACCACAACCTACACCACTACTCGCACCGCAACTCGCACCACAACTCTCACCAACCACGCACCGCGTCGAACGAGCCCGTGTTCGTGTAGCACCACCCTTAGCATCACAACTCGCACCACGCACCGCGTTGAACGATTCTGAATTGTCCCAGCTGTGACATTGACAGGAGGGCGCTACTATCAATACTGGTAGACTAAGAGCCAGTGGACGCCAGATCTACGTCATTTTATAAAGGCTGAAAGTTTGTCAGCGTATGCCCCCAATATAAGTTAGAATATTGATGCATCATGAAGTTTGGGTCATCGTAATCATTGGGAAAACACTAAAATGTCATTTACTGGAGGGCGCTACTATCAACATTGGTTTATTATTTCCCATTAATGCCACTTGATGTTTCAGAATCGTTCAACTATAACGCAGACCACAACACACTACACACCACTTCCTATCACTCTAAAACCTGGTTCGCACTAGTCAAGTAATTTCTGGCGAGTAAATTAGTAGATTAGTGTCTAAACACCAAAAATTTAGTCGAGTAGGTTACTAATGCCCGTTTTCACCATCAATCCCTAAGTGACCCCTATGAAAACAAAATTCTTGTTAAGTGTTACCATAGGGGTCACTTGAAAAATTAGGGATTCATGGTAAAAATGGGCATATATCGTTTAGTCAAGCCAATACATTGTTTTATTTTGACAGGCGAGTAACACCCCCACCACGCGTCTCGCTCATCGGCTAAACGAGTCTGAACCAGGCTGTTTAGTCGAATTCATACAAAAACCACTTATTACTTGTAAACTGTACTCTCCAAAGTGCGAACAGTTTTTTGGTCAGTAGCGAGTACCTAGTTTATTTACTAAAGGCGAGTCACTTCTAAATTACTCAACTAATGCGAGCAAGGCTTAACACGTACCTTTTACTTCGCACCACACGCCATGACAAATCTGACACCACACACCACTTTTATCACTCCACCAGAGACACTAGTAGCTAATGCGCAGAATGTCAATATTATCAGAGAAAAGTTCGCGGAGTCATTTGATACCATGTTCAAAAGCGGAGTATCAAAAACTTGTTATTATAACATAAGGAACTTGATCATAATGTCATCTTTTTGTGACTGACATTCTGTGTTTGAGCTCATCAGTTCATCACAAACACAGAACACTACCTACACGACCTTACCATTATACACAACCTGTATTGTGTTCAAAGTATACAACACACTACGCCTTCGAATAACTTCTCAAAACTTGAACTCTGCTCTCTTTCTTTAAAACTCTTCTTGATAAAAATAATATTTATTTATTTGCTAGTTTTCACTGCATTTTTGCACTGTTGCACGATGTTGTTTTAATTGAAAGTTTGATTATGAATTTAGATTCGTTCTTCCCTAGATTTCACAATGTAACTACCAACAATCAAATGATTACCAGCCATTTGTTGCTCATTCGCCAATTCAGTGAAATGTAATGACGCTTAGTAGGTTATTTAAGTTTGTATAACATGAGTTTCGTTATACTGAAACATACAATATTACCATAGAAACTAAGCATGTATGTACATCTCCTTAATTAAATATAGCTTGCTTGTAAGTTTATTATACACCTACGTGAGTAATTAATATCGTATAATTATTTCAGGCATTTCCACTACATGATATCATAGCCAAAGAATAATTTAATTTATTATTATTAGCTGTGGTAATAATATTAGATTCTCGGTGTGAAATAAAATAAATGATAAGACTAGTGTAAAAGAACTATTGTAACTTGCCCAAGACGCGTCCAAAATTATACAGGCGGTAACATGTACATAATTCTATGTATTTTCGTGTATTATCTTCGTATTCTTCTGAATTCGTCTTGGCCACTCGTTTCTGTTTTAAAGGCTGAAGATCCATCAATGTATATTAATGCGATCGGCATATAAATTGCCTGCCACATAATGATTTTAGACTTCTCAATCTTCATGTCTTAAGCTATCTAATTACCACATTTCTCTATTAAGGATTTTTCATAAATACTGATATTATATTGTGGCCATTGATACACAAATGAAAATTATTACATGCGTTGTAAATCAACTTATGTGATTTATTGTTAATGGTTAATTTATTTTTAAAGTATTTTTTGATATCTTAAAACCATATAAATAATTATTATCTAGTCAACCTATAATGAATTGTTAAATTGTCGTATACTATTTGAGACATTTATATTATCAAAAGTTAATGTTATTTTTATCATACTTTACAATTAAATGTATTTAACTATTTATAACTGATGAGCTCTGAGTACTCATCAATAGGCAGACAATAAAGTTGCAAAATATTTTACTTTTGTAAGTTGTCATTGTATGAACATCAGTTTATAATTTTAGAGTAAAAGATTGTAATTTAATCTAGATCTTATAACTTTTAACTATTTACCTCCTTCGTTACCAAAATTCGACGTTATTCTTGTATAGTTTTAGGTGTAAACTAAATTGTAAATATGAAACGTAAAGCATACATTCTAAAGTGTTGTACATAGATTCATTAGTAATTTATTTTTAAATTTATTTATTTACTGTCTGTGATAAATAGTACAGTATTTATCAATTATTCATTAATATTGTATTGTATTTTGGGAATCATTGATATTTTAAGTCAACTGCTTATGTAATCAATAGACAGAGGCGGGGCAAGACCTAAATTTGATGTGGGCAAGATAGATTTCGCGAGGCCTTGTTCTGTGGCGACCTGAAGACGGATTTTATGAAATAATAAAAAAAAGGGTCAAAGGTCTATACATTGACAGTTTCTGATTTCTTGATTCAGTGATTATTTTTAAAGGAATATTGCGCCAAAGAATAATGTTCGTCACTTAAAACCGTGTTGTTGCTTAATTTTGTGTCTGATTATGGCTGAATTTGTTTGGAAAAAAATATATTTTTATTTTTAACTACATTGTTTAGCTATCAAGAATTTATATTTAATAGTCAATGTTCTCGTATTGTTATATTGTCATCTCCACCTTGTATACATTTTTTCAAAATTTTTGATGCGCGAGGCCCCTTGTACCGCGAGGCCGTAGGCGGTGGCCCACGTCGCCTACGCCTTACGCCGCCTCTGTCAATGGAATAGAGATAGACATGAGAATGTAAACGCATTAATCATGTAGATGGACACTAAGCAGTGTGAAGTTGGTTGAATTCATGTAATTCCTTGATGTTGCATCTTGTTATTGTATGTGTATCAGTTATATCAAATGCTTGGGTTTATTATGTTGAGTGAACTGATCACATGATTACACATCCAAAGAATTACATGTAAATGATGCAACATGTTAGACCAGAAATAGAGAATATTTCGGTTGTTAACCCTGTAGCACAACTCATGATCATGCTTTTTCTTTATAATTTATCAAAATTTTCATATTATTTTTTTACATTATCTTCTTATTAAAAGACAAAAATAGAAAGTAGTTATTTTGTCCATACTATTCTTTGTTCAATAGTGCCATAGTCATTAAAATAGAGTGACTGTTGTATGTAATATTTAACCCATTATAGACTGAGTTTTCTCAAAGTGTCAGAATTTTGTTTTTTTGAAATATGTTCATAATTATAGTCTACATAATGCTATACAAGCATTAAAAAAATGATCCGACCTGTAATCTAGAAAAAAAATGCTGGTACCATATGGTACCGCTAGCCTCTTACCGTGTCAGTCGGTTAAAACATAACTTTATCATGGACTTTATAAAAATAGGGTAAATTATATATTTTATTATTATTATAATATGTAATAATATACAAGCAATAACAGAAGTGATATTAAATGTAAAAAAAACTGTATATTGGGTAAGCAATATTCATTTTTATCTTTGAATATTCAAAAATTTGGAATGGAGCTTGGCATTGCACGCTGCACATAGCTCCACGTTATATTTTCTATACTCTAATATTGTTCGAGAGTTACAATTATCTTGAGTTTGTTCAATAAATATCTACTTCGTCTTGGGACCTTCATCGTCCTCCAAAACTGCCAATGTTTTGTGTAAGTTACATCTAAAATAAATAAAAACCCATGGTTTTGTAAAGTATAGGAAACTATTTTACTTTATCTTCCTGTATACCTTATATACCATTGAATATATCACATACTTCCCAATATATACAGTAAAAACTAAAAATCATAAAATAATTAAAAAGACACGGTAACCGGCTAGCGGTACCGTACGGTACCAGTAATTTTGACATACAATATTTTCCATTATTATTACCTATCGACGTAATTTTACACCATTTCACAATAAGAGCACTTATGGAGAGTACAGGATTGTAACAAAATCAGTATTTCACTATCACACAAAAAAAATATGATCACTTACTTGAATGGCGCGTCAATTTTTAAGAGAAAATTTTGATGCGCTCACTTTAATCATCAATTACGTGACAACTGAAAAGAATAACTGTCAATTTTTATTCCTAGAAGCATAGACCATGTCTATTGGCTACGACTTGCATCAATCAGAGCTCTGCATCTTTTCACGTGTTAATGTATAGAGCCAAATTAAAACACACAAAAAAGTGGTACCATATGGGACCGCTAGTCTATAATGGGTTAAGGTAGCTGATACTTGTTTAGTTTCAGTCCATGCTCTCAAAATAAATTAATAAATCTCAATGTAGTCAAATTATGTACTCCATTGTTTTTTCTGTACTTTTTGCAAGTTTTCATAAAATCATTGCTATCTCAAATGCCTTCATTTTGTTCAGAATTCCTGCTTATGTGGATTTAAAAGTAAAATTTATTAATAAAAACATATAATACCTACTTAACCTTAAATGTTGTTGTTCAGCATCTAGTTTTCTGTAGAGCGAGGCTCATTCATCTCTAGATTTGTGAGTAGTATAAGTCATAAATGTGATACCAAATAATTTAAATAGTGTGTAATTTTTTTTGTTAAAGTACTATAAATGATTTCAATTTATATTAATAGTAACTTTCCAGTCTCCATGGTAATTTGTGCCAAGTTAAAGACATTGCAAGTTTTTGAAGTGAAACAAAATCACATTTTATCAATTTTTGTATCGTTTTTTTGGATATTCAAAATGTATTACTAATTGATAATAAAGATTGATGTTATAAAATAGAATTGATGTAATATTGTTATTGACTTGGTTATTAGGTAATAATGATGTATTCTTTAAGAGATTATGTTTTTACATTAAAATAAAACTGACTGTTCTTGATGTTTCATTTAAACATTTTATGCTCAGTGTTTCAAAATAGCAAATCTATTAAATGTTTCAACACATCACACAAATATGCCATAATTATGCATAAAATGAATGATAGCAAAGATTTGAAGTGCTGAAACCGTAACAAAGAAAATTCAATATCAGAATCTCAGTACTAAACTTCACTAGTAACTAAAAAGAAAATACCAACTTGATATCACCAAACATGTCTGTTGTGTTGAAATTTAGGGTAAAAATTAACATCATACATAAAAGTAGTAGAATTTTTCATTTTATTGTAATTTTTTTCTTACTTAATTTCAATACATTTATGGTTTGAGTTATGGAAGTATTCACAAACATTACTATGAGGTCTCCCAGTGCCTGTGGACGCACAGGGTGACTCACAAACCAATCACAGAGCTCCATTAAACATGCATTTGATTTGCTGATTCACTTATGCATGCCTAGTTTGTGAATATGGGCGTTATGCATGGTAGTATTTTCATGAGTGTTTCAGAATAATGTCATATAAATGGTTAAATAGAAAAAATATATAACCCTAAATTGTTTCTTATCTCAAAATATCATTCAAAAATATTAATATCATCATTTTTCTTCATAAATGGGGCACTAGCACAGAGGAAATCAGTTTCATTATGTATAGTTTTGACACTGTTATTGTCTTCAGTATGCTTCACAAGCAAATCTAGCACTTCCATGTCTTTTTTAGCAGTTTCACAGACTTTTTCAACAGTAGACAATTCTTCTTCTTCGGCAGTTAGCAAAGCTTCCATCAAGGCTCCTCGTTCCACTCGTTTCCTCAATGATGTCACTTCTTCCTTTAGCTTTTCATGATCAGCGTCCGATAAATCTTGCAAATGTATCTCATCATCAGGGAGTAACACATTTTGTGGCACTTCTAGCACCCTTTCGATTTCTCTATCTATAATTTGTAAAGAAGGACCGGCTCGCTCACAATACAGTTTTATCAGTTTATCACAAGAACGTGTAAGGGTTGCTTTATCGGTCTCATTAAGATCCAATGATTCTTGTAAGTAGGATTCCATGTCTTTAACCCCAGTTGTAATCTTCTGTTCGACCATCTGTCGCACAGCGATTTTAAGACGTTGTGAACCGAAACCAAAATGTTGGGTTTCATATTCTTCATCTGTGCCACCGGTCCAGGGAGTTGTTTTGATCATGATTATGTATTAGTCTAATTCAAAAAACAGTAAAAATAAAATCAACTTTCTTACAACGATTATTTTTGAATGGAAACAACAACAAACACAATATTAAAATAAATTGACGCTTATATTTTAACGTTTGGCTACTGGATTTGACAAGTTACGACTTGGACCATAGTAATTTAGGACAACCAGCGATATGGGTTATCTTTTGAAAATAGTTACCAACTAAAAATAAAGTACACTGTTTTGAAAAAAAGTTTTATTTTATTTCATGATTCGATCGAGATTTAATGCATTATTATTTAAAATCACTGCACTTGTGGCTATAGCAGTAGCTATCTATTTAGATCTAGCTAGAGTAATCTAAACTCTGATTTTTAATTCGACAGAATTTTGACATTTCAGAAGTGTTGTCAACATTGAATCATTCCCACTAAGAATGGAGAGCATTTTCATAAATTAAAAAATAATCCTTTCTTGAATTAAAGGTTTCACTTGAAAAACTAAGGCTTAAAAATGTACCGATCATTTCAAAATGGTTATTTGAATTTTTATTATACTTTTGAAGTTACAAAAAAAAATGGGAAATAATTTTTCTATTACTGGACTCCCTGGCCAATAATCCATGGGTTACAAACCTTTTTTATGAAAATCCTTTTGTTAATAAAATCTTAGCTTTATAAAATAATCAATTTAACAAGATGCCAATTTTATAATCCAAGTTGATTATGATGACGATAATGATGATTGATGATCAATACATATTTTTGTTTATGATAATATGTTGTTTTACCGTGTTAAAAACACGTTTTTTTCTATTTAATCTTTAAAATGTACATAATAATTAGGGTACATTAAATTCACAAAACAATCAATAGTTCATTCTTGTAAGTTGTACTTGATGAAATTTCATTTCATATTAGGTATTTATTAATAATTCAAAGCAAAAAAGGCTTATTACATCTGAATTGTCAAAAAATGACAGCTGTCAGAATTCCGTCGAATTAAAAATCGGACTATAGAGGAGTCAGAAAACTTAAGCCACAGCAGTTGTTAGTGGAGTTTTATTCTTGGTCTGAGGTGGAGAGGTAACATATGGGTTAACATAACCTTTCGTTATATTCCGTGCGGCGCGCGGCGTGCATTAAAAAAACAATTAAAAGATATCGTTTGGCTGGTACCTACTATAAAAAATAAGTAGTACCTTACCTACTTACCTTGTTAATGAGTTATTTTGTAACGTATTTGTGTTAAGCTGATGAATAAACGTTTTAACCAATACGTATTCATTTAGATTGAGTGGTGCCTGGTGCCCTTGACGTGCAGTCTCAGATCATAGAAAGAGAATATGATCTGAGCGTGCAGTTCATGTCCCTAACTAAATTCAAGGCCATAGCAGCTGATTTCCAAGTAAATCTTTTAACTTAAAAACAAACGAATCTTTCTTTTTTATTCTAAGGTAGGTACCTACTCGTAGTTACCTTAGAATAAAAAAGAAAGATTCGTTTGTTTGTTAGTTAATTAAGTACGTTTTTATTCGTTGATTAACTGCTAGATATTAACATTAATTTGCACCAATAAGCAGCAACAACAGGGCAACGCCACTTTTAAATTACCACCTTAGATTATTAATCTAAGATTACCACAAACAATACCACAAAACAGAGTGCGCCACAGAGTGCGCTCAAACAACGCACACATAGACACTCACTGTCACTGACACGATATCTCGGACCGATTGAGACTAGTGCGAGCGCGAGTGCTATCCGCTTGAGTGAGACACGTGTGACGCATTTATGTGCAAAAATGGAACAACAAAGTAAAGCTTATTATAACTGTTCGGTGTACGGTTGTTTAAATTCAACATTAAACAGCGAATACTCGTTTTTTAAGGTACCAGCTGTATTAGAGAAGTAAGTACCTATTTGCTTGTATTTTTGGTGTTCTTTTTAACGTAACAGAGTGCGAATATGACTGTGGCCATGTAATAATTTTATTTTACAGTTTATATTAACCATTAATTGTAGTTATTTTATTAATAATACCAACGAATCACGAATGAACATGAAGTGAAATTTGAGGTTATGACTAAACGTCAAATAAAACGAATGTCAATTTTATTATTTTCAATTGATTTCTGTCTTATTCTAACACACGTAACAACGCAGTTTCGCAGAGTGAAGTTAGCAACTAAAATCACAGATAGCTATCTAGTCGGCTCAGTGGCTCGGATAACCTGATCTTGAAAAATACAACTAACTTTATTAGGTATTTCTCAGATAATTTAATTCGCTAGATAGATAAGTGTCAAGATATTCGATGATTGAAAAATCAGCCCTAAGCTGGCTGTGTAAGCCTTGTGTTTACCTTAAGCCGGGTCCAGACGAGTGTAACGCGTAATGGAATGTTTCGTGTAATGTAATGGAATAGAAATAATATGGGCAGCACTTTACATGGTAATGCTCGTTGTGCTGTCCACACGCAGAATTTGCGTTACATTGTGAACATTACACATTACACCCGTCTGGTACCTAATTACATTTTTACAGGCGATTACTTATTAGGTGTACTGTGTACAACGGGACTATTCCCACCTCTCGTTCCCACCACTGCAACTCCTGTGTAGCCAGGATCTACAGCTTGACCGCCACAAAAACCCAACCAATGAAGGTCAAGTTTGTCCCGGGGGAAAGTTAAACTGTCATTGGACCCGCAACGAAATTAATCAGAAGAACATAGGAGGAGTTCGAAATTAAGGTTCGACTTCCCTCCATTGCAAAGCGGATGACAGGTGACAAACAAAGGTTTAAAACCTTTAAGAAAAAGATTATGCACCACGGACAATAAATTAAATTAAGGGGGCCTATCTTATGAGCAATTAGCAACTACCTGCCAATAATATTTTTCACAAAATCGCTTAAAAGCACGGAAATTTTTCCTTGTCGCGACAAGATCGGTGTAATAAATTGCGGAAACAGATGTATGTTGTATTGAATTAAGCATTATATCACGTTCATGTTTCCAAAGATCACACTCCCACAAGATATGATGGGCAGACTGCTCATGACTGACATCATCAGTGGAACACTCGCAAAAAGGAGACGGAACTAGTTTGAATTCGTGAAGTTTATGTTTAAAGTTGCCATGTCCCGTGAGGAACTGCGACGAGCAATGGTCGATTTCTAACCATCGCCTAGTTAGACGTTCGCGTACATTCGGGAAGAATTTATATAAGTGACGTCCTTTGACTGACGTATCCCATCTTTTTTGCCATTCATTAAGTAAATCTTCTTCAACGACTTCTCGGGAATCAAATAATCGACTTATTTTAGAACGATCGCGGCTATTTAAGAAATCGGAGGTTATATTTTCCCTTGATGCGAAGTACATAGCCGCACGCTTTTGTACCTCTAAGTCGACCGGCAGTACACCAGCCAGGACTGGCAGAGCCTCCGTGCTCACAGTTCTGTAAGCTTTGCAAAGAAAAATCAATGCAAGGCGTTGACTTTGGAGTAGTTTCCGTCGAGCGGCTCCTATAGTAGCTCTGTCAGCCCAAACTGGTGCACCATAGCAAATGGAGCTTAAATAAGTGGCCGAATATATTACTCGGAGGATTTTAAACGTTAGACCCCACGTCGAGGTTGAAATGTGACTTAAGGCATAAAAGTTCTTTTTAGCTTTTTCACCGATCTGTTTAATGTGCTCGACAAAACTAAAGTTTTTCTCTAAAATTAGTCCGAGATAGCAAACAGATTCCCGTTTTTTAACAGTTATTTCATTGAATTTAATGCGAGGCAAAACTTTAAGATTACCTTTTAATAGAAGCTGATAAGTTTTGTGAGGGGCAAACTGCAAACGATTTCTGTCTCCCCATTGAGATATTAAATTCAAGCATGTATCCGCTAGATTTTCAAGCTTTGATCTAGTGTCAGCCTCTATTAAAAGGAGACCGTCATCAGCGTACCCGGTTAACGAACAGCCTTCGGGTAATGGTAATGCTAGAAAATCATCGAAACCCAAATTCCAAAGGTAGGGCCCTAGGACCGATCCTTGGGGACAGCCGCGCGTGAGCACCTTTGATTCAGCATGATGGCCGAGTTTTAATTTAGTTGTACCGTTACAAAAGTACGAGTGCAGTAGTGAATATATATTACTATAGCATCCACGAACTTTCAGTTTTAAGAGCAGGATCGGCCACCAAGCATTGTCGAAGGCACCTGAAATATCGAGGAATATTCCTACAACGTACTTTGTCACCGAGGACGTCACTTTTTGTCTGACAGATATTACTGCATCTGCAGTAGACTTCCCGGCGGTAAAGCCAAACTGCTGCTCGTGAAAAATTGGACCACCCGGGTGTACTGTGTACAGTGAGTGGGCCACAGTTGCAGCTAGGCAGCTACCCATTTCCGTTTTTTCTCTCGCTCTCATCAAATGGCGATTCTTTGCGTTAGAACGAGACGACATGACCGGAAATGGGTAGCTGGAACTGTGGATAGAATAGTTTGAAAACTGCGTTTTTTTTTGTATGAAGTTAACCTCGAATCGGTGGCCCTTTCATGCAGCTTCGCACTAAAAACGATGGAAATGACGTGTATGAATGAATACTTATTTTACTACTTACTATTCGTGTGGCCTGTTTAGTTGGTCCAGTCGACATCGATCATCGCAAACGCGCATGTATCTACGATTTTTTATATGCTGTTAGATTCCTCGAGAGTTATAAAAATAACTGTCGATATCGACTGGAATTTAATTTAAGGTTATGATATTTTTTTAGAGTTCCGTAGTCCTGACAAGGATCCTAATTAACTTATGTACTAAAAAAACCCTTACAAGAAAACATTAAAAGTGGTTTTCATGAAGTAATTCTGGCTTCTGAAATATATTGTGGTTACGACGGGAAACTATGGAACCCTACACTGCACGTGGCACGACGACACGCACTTCCCGCCTTTTGTATTTATCTGTGCACTAATATTACTATTTATGTATGTTTATCTAGACAATTTTATGCAGCTTACTATTTTATTTATTTTACCAATGGCCCGTGACCCTCATAGACGTGCGCGCCGCCGCCATAAGGAGTCAGCGCGCCGCCGCCGCCGCCGG